AAAACTAGAACAGTGTCCCTGGAGAAAAATATTATTCTGAAAAGATTTTTTTTCATTACTTTGATTTCCTTGCGTTCATTAATATTTCCCCATCAGTCAAGGCTTTTTTGATTTTGTGAATTTCAGAAAATCCAAAAGTGGGTCATAGGTTACATTCATTTTAAATTTTGATGGGTGCCTTTAAAATAACTTTGAAGGATTTGACCAAATAAACTCCAACCTGCATATTGTAGGAATGCCCTTTCCCCACATTCTCAGAAACCAAATGTGTAATCAGTGCCCTTCTCCCTTTTAGTTTGGCAATCTAGAAGGTGAAAATTATGCTTTATAACACTACTTTGCTCCCTTTAAAATTTTCATTTGTTTAATCACTAATGATTTTGTATACTTTGATGCTGTTTGCATTTGCTGTTACATTTATCTATTCATAATCCTTTTCCTGCTTTTTCTCCTACATTTGTGTCCTGACTTGCTTAATTCATGGGAATTCTTTATATTTTGTAGCCATTAAGAATCTGTGTGTCAAATATTCTATAATTTTTCCCAATCATTTTCTTCCAATTTTTCTGTAATAGGACATTTTATATGCAGAAATTTTTAATTTGGGGGAAATCTGATCCATCAGCATTTTCCTTTACAGCTTCTGAGATTCTTAAAATACTTTTAAAGAACTTCCCATCCCAAGATTTTGGAGCATCTTTTATTCTCTATTAATAATCTTGTGCTTTTATATTTGTATCTTCAGAGTACTTGGAATTTGTTTGCATGTATTGCCTTTATTTTTTTAAAATGACCAGTTGTTGTTCCAGCAGTCTTTCCCCCATGATTTGAAATGCCAGTTTCCTCGTTTTTAAAATTCCCACGCTTAGCTACATCGGCTTCCAGACTTTCAGCTTCTCTTCTCTGATGTGATCAGGGCTCAGAGACGACTTTGTGAGGGTGTGAGGTGAGACGCAAGGTAAGGCCTGAACTGGCCTAAAGATGTGTCAGGAGGGGCACTTGGCATAGGGAGGAAGGAGAGGCAGAGGAAGCTGGTCAGAGGGCCTTCGTGCTCTGAGCCATGAACTAAGGCACATCTGTCTGGTACAGTTATGTGCAAAAAGGTGTAAAACTACAAGGGGCTTCTGTTCTCCCACAGGAGAAATAGAAAGCTCTTGCGTGTCTTGCGTGTCCTGTGGTCTGGCTCTGCATTCCTCTCCAGCCTGGTCTCCAGCAGCCCTCCTTGGTTTTTTGCATGGTTTGTCAGCTCCGGTAGTGCAGGATCTGTCTGTCTGTCTGTCTCTCTGTCTCCCTTCCCCCTCCATGTTTTTTCCCTCCACCATCCCCCCTCTGGCCTTACAAGTCCTATCTTTTACTCCCATTCCTCTTCCTTCCTGTAACTGCACGCCCAGCCTGGCTTAGTACTGGCCTCTGCTAGAAAGCCCTGCCCCTTGTCCACCCTCCCACATGCTGTTGAACTTGCCACACAGTACTGGAGCTGTCTGTTGGAGTCTGTTTCCCTGTTGGGACTGCATGATTTTTGCAGTCTAGAATTGTATGTTACTCATCTCTGTATTCTCATCGTCTAGCGTGAAGCCCAGTACACAGACAATTTGCTCAATGATATCTGTCGGCTGAATGAGCGAGCAAGATAAAAAAGATCATTGCCCTTCTAAAAATGTCAGCTTTGTTGTGCAGCATAGCACATGCACTGCAGTATAGCTCAAAAACAACATCTGTTAGCTTTTCTCTTTGCAAAGGAGAGACTGTCACCACCACACTTGCATTCACATGTGGGAGACTTTCACACATGACTCACATGCCTGGAGTTTCTGGGGGAAGACTGTGATCTCCAGTTTTGCAATAATACATGTCAGTATTTTAGTCTAAAGCCTTAAGAGTGTGCTTCATCTTCCGGGACACCCCTGGAAAGGTTACAGAGGAAGAGAAGTCCTCTTCCCAGGGGGTGGTACAATCTGAGCCAGGGATGGAATGAACAAGGAAGGTAGCAAGAAATGTGAGGGAAATACCTTACACGCGCTTTAGTATTGCATCCAGAAAGTCATGGTGAAATGTCTGCCTCTTTTATTGCCCTCAGAATCATTGTGTGTAGAACTGACTTGGCATCAGCTGCTAACACTTTGGGTTTTTATTTGTAGTAAAGCAATGCAGCTTCATGAAAATTCAACTCCTAGCTTTGACATTCCCACTCAATTGCAGTTTAAACTTCTCAGGAACAGCACCGTGTATACCTGCTTCCTGTGTTTAGCACTGAAGATTTCCTGTGACAGTCACCGTGGGTGTTTTTGTATCTTTCACTTTCTTACTTACAGCCAAAGTCAGGACCCCTCCAGACTGCGTCTCATGGCAAGGTATTTATAGACTGAGGTGAATGTACTCAACATGTTCCCAGCTGGGCAGGTAATATGTGGAGAGTCTGTTTCAGGCTAGCCCTGCCTGATGGAAGAACACCCCAAACAAAATCTGTGCCTCTTGCTAATTTTTAGAGCTCTGAGTGGTGGTAGAACATACAAAAATCTATTTTTCACTAATCAAAGGGGAAGCTGAGACAGAAAGGAAATTTTGATACTTTCATTCTTAGAAAAGAATGACTATATCAGCAGAGAGAGAAAAAAACCTTAGAGATGGAAAAGTCAGGCTGTGAGTGTGTGTGTGTGTGTGTGTGTGTGTGTATGTTGGTGTCTTGGGTTCCAGTGTCTTGGAATTGCTTTGTGGTCTCGTCATAGAATGTTTAATCCAAGTTATATATTTGTTTTACCATATTACACATGAACAGAATCCTAAGTGCCATTAATATTACCTTAATCCATAAAATAAATTATTTTTTAAAGAAGAATCTAGTAAAAGAGATGTTTTGATATCCTTGTCTGAGATTGATAACAGGAAATTACTATCAGGGGACTATGATTTCAGTCATTTAATGCGGGTGTTAATAATAACCCAACTGTTTTAGGATCATAATATATGTATCTGTATTTGTCATGGCCTGTAGTTAAGCCATGGAATCTAGTATCTTCTGTAAAAAATAAGCTCTCCTTTAGCCAGGGTATTTTTCCCCCCTATGTCTGCTGTAGTCTACTTTATAAAACATGCAGCTTATAAGAAAATAAATTGATAATGCCGTTTCCTTGGCCTCAGATCATTGTACATTCATGTAAGACAACAGCTGAAGAAATTCACAATCGAAATGAAATTAGTGGAAGTCTTATCCATCTCACCCAAATGAGAGATTGTCATGGGCCAGTTGCTAGGTTTACCTCTTTATACACATTCATAAGAAACTGAAAAGTCACTAAACTTTGCAACCAGTTTTTTCTGCTCATGAAGAAAACACACTGGCTGAACTGTTAGAAAAGGGTTACTTAGGGACACAAGGAACCACTCTGCACAGATGTTCTTTGAGAAGGCAGAGTAGCATGACAGCATCTACAGAGAGGCCAGTGCCAGAGTCACCACAGCCAGTAAATGTGAGGAACCGTAGGCCCCAGGCAGGTATTCATTGCTCAGGGAGCCTTCTTAAGGATGTCCTTTGACGCAGAAGACAGTGGAATAAAACAGGCCCTCTGTTGCCTCATTCCACAGTACACTGTGACCCTGCCCAGTTCTGTACTTGTGAGATTTTTTTTCTTTTAAAGCATGCCTATTTGGGGAAGGATCAGGCTATTCATTAGAAGTAAAAGCCACTGCCATAAGGAAAGAAACAAGTAAAATAAAATACAATGATTGTTTTAAAACTACATGTTTAATTGTCCCAGGTCTTGGGAGAGGCTTCTCTTATTGTCTCAGGGAATTAGAGTGGTTTTATCAAGAAGCGTAGAACTGCCTGCTCCAAAGAACTCCCAGGAGGCTTGGCTGGGAGTATCTTCACACATTGGGGCAGTCTAGGGAGGTAGGATTTTATTTATTTTTGTTGTTGTTGTTGTTGTTGTTTTTGGTTTTTGTCCGGTATCAGGAATCGAACTCATGACCTTGCACTTGCCAGGCAGGCACTGTGCCCCTGAGCTAAATCCCCAGCCCCTAAGGTAGGATTTTAGAAAGGCTTGGAGCCAAGACCCTGAAAGCAAACCTAGCACTGTGTTCCACAGAGGTCCTCTGAGCTACCACAAATAGTCAGACTACGAAGTAATCTAGAGTTTCACGGATTCAGAACCTCATTCCCAAGATGGAGAAGTGTTGGGAGAAGAATTACATTCATCAAGGTGCATTCTTCTTCATGTCAGGCTGATTTCCATCTCAGTTGGCCTAATTTATTTGTAACACTAAAATAAATTGGTATTAATTCATACCCAGCCTCTTATTCTTCCCATTGTTGGGTTGTAACTTTAGACAATTCACTGTAGTCTCAAAACTAGTGACATACATTATGTATTAATTAGCCAGAGGTCATAAAAGGATAACACTAATCTCAAATATGAGAAACCAGTAAACAATTATAATTTGTTTACTCCATATACTATGTTGAATCTAAAATACTTTGTATTCTGAGAGCCATGCTCACAGGCAGGCTAGAAAGTCAGATTCTACGATCCAGGAGTTCTTTCCTACGAGCAGCATTTTTCAGATGATTTCTGAATTTTCTAGTAGGATGTAAAGTTGCGCAATACAGTTTGGTGGTTTAGCGTACTGCCTTGTGACTGGGAATATAGCTCAAGGGTAGAGCACTTGCCTAGTATGGGTGAGTCCCTAGGTTCAGTCCTCAGCACTGCATACATGAAAAAGAATGCAGCTTCCTGAATACCAGTTCATGGCCCAGTTATACTGTTTCCAAATGGATGGCTTTGGCTTTGCTTAACCATGCCTTAGTTTTCTTTATCCTATAGCATGGAGCAAGCATCAGTACTACCTCACAGAGTTGTGCAGATTAATATATGTCACTGGTGCATAATAAGCACTTGAAGTAAATGTTCGTTGTTCTTGGTTGATCCTTTTAGAAATGCATAAATCTGTAGTAATGGGCCTTGAATGTCCGTATTTGAATTTTCTTCTCTCCCTTCTGACAGGAAAATGGCAAATGGTGGATGGCGGCCTCCTGAACATCACCAAGGTATCCTTCTCAGACCGAGGTAAATACACATGCGTGGCCTCTAACATCTATGGCACTGTGAATAACACGGTGACCTTGAGAGTCATCTTTACCTCTGGAGACATGGGCGTCTACTACATGGTTGTCTGCCTCGTGGCCTTCACCATCGTCATGGTCCTCAACATCACCCGCTTGTGTATGATGAGCAGCCACCTGAAGAAGACCGAGAAAGCCATCAATGAGTTCTTTAGGACAGAAGGCGCAGAGAAGCTGCAAAAGGCCTTCGAGATTGCCAAGCGGATCCCCATCATCACCTCAGCCAAAACTCTAGAGCTTGCCAAAGTCACCCAGTTCAAAACCATGGAGTTTGCCCGTTATATTGAAGAGCTTGCCAGGAGTGTGCCTCTGCCTCCTCTCATCATGAACTGCAGGACTATCATGGAGGAAATCATGGAAGTAGTCGGGCTGGAGGAGCAGGGGCAGAATTTTGTGAGGCATACCCCAGAAGGCCAGGAGGCTGCAGAGAGGGATGAGGTGTACACAATCCCCAACTCTCTGAAGCGAAGTGACTCGCCCACCGCTGACTCCGACGCCTCATCGCTGCACGAACAGCCTCAGCAGATTGCCATCAAGGTATCTGTTCACCCCCAGTCCAAAAAAGATCATGTGGATGACCAAGAGGGCGTACAGTTTGAGGTCAAAGATGAAGAGGAGACAGAACCATCCGCTGGACAGTCTCCGGAAACTGCAGAGCCTTCTACAGACATAACATCCACAGAGCTAACCTCTGAGGAGCCGTCCCCTGTAGAGGTATCAGATCGAGGACTGCCACCAGCTCACTTGGAAATGACAGAGCCAGCAGTGACATGCGACAAAAACACCTGCATTATTTATGAAAGCCATGTCTAATATTCACTCCGAAAAGCTATGCATATCAAGAAAACCAGGGGCTGCTCTTTGTAATACAGATGTAGTACGCACTTGCCGCTAAGCCTTACCAGGAGACTCTCATCCCTTAGGTAGGAGTGATGCCGTTTGAAAGGGAGAAACACCTGCGTGCAGTTGACGTGACTGGCATCTCCCCAGTAGAAAAAGATACAAGAAACATCAGGGTGCAGAATTGATGTCGGACAGAAGCTGTCTGTCCTTGTGATATGAATCGTAGAGGCCATTATCTGCCAAATCCCTTAATTGGTGATGCCGTTTTGGCAAAGAGTACACTACTGTAAGATATTCTGAGCTCAAGAGCCCTGTCAATGCATACTGTATTGCTTTTCTTTTTAAAAAGTATAGGTCTGCTATAATAGCAAATGCACGTATATGGGTTTGTTGCACTTTCTTCTTAGTTTTAATTACTTTCACTGTTCCTTTATAATGGAGTAGTTATTATATTAACATTAATTTCCTCCTTCTGGTTGCATCCTCTTTACCACTTTTGTCCTTATTTTTGCCTAGAATGTTTACCTCAGAGGCTTTGGTATCAGTCACCAGTTCCAGGACTGATAGCTACAAGCCATTTGTAATGCTCCAAAGTAGTTACTATGCTCATTATTTTTTTCATTTCCCAGGCCTATTTTCATACATTGCTTTTTTTTTATTTCCAGTGAAGCTGCTGTTGTGAAATTGAGAAAAACTTTGCCCTGGAATAGCACTTTAATAGTCAAATAAAAATGTGTTTACCTGTCCAATTCTGAGAACCTTTCAGTGAGCTCAATCAAGGTGTAGAGAGAGATTGTAAAAGGCTCAGTGTACCCACACTCTTCCTGAAAATTGCTGTTTACATTTAAGTAACATCATCCTCTAAACAAAGACTGACTCTTTACCTGGAAAATGTATTGTTTCCAAATAGAAGCATTTGATGAATTCCTATAGGTTGTAAAGTATTGGCTTCCCAGGAGCAGTTACAGGGATCAACTGCTGCCGGTGAACTACACACCTGGTACAAGGCAGCAAGTAGAAGGTCTGTGAAGTGCTTAAACAGGACCAGTTTTGTAAAACACATAGCTGACTTGTTAGTTTTCACAAGGAAGAGTGAAAGGTAAGAGTAGTGGCATAGAACACTGTTGCCCTCAAGTTTTATGTCAAAATTACTGAATTATTTACTTCCACAAAAATGCAGTATAAGCAAGGTAGCATGATTTTGTGGAAAGAAGGCAAAAGTTAAAACCAGTCATTCAGAGGTTCAGTACTTACCAGCCAGTGCTGGTCACCAACTGCCTGGTATTGAACAAGTCTAGCCCTCGGTTTCTCTATCCGTAAGAAGGGCAGACTAGATGAGGGTGAATGCCGGCTCTTCCTCAGAGAACCACGCCAATATTAACATCCTTGCTCTTTTCTACGATGACTTCCCAGATTTTTGCTTTCATCTGCTGGTTCCCCAAACATATGTAGTGCTGCATTACTTGCTCAAAAAGGGTCAGTTTTGAAAAATCATAGCATTTTAAATAAATTGTGGAACTTCTCCTCTTCCCCAAAAATGATTAGGACCAGCTCTACAATTGAGTGATGTTGTTCATTTTCACTTATAAGCAAGGGAGACAATAACCTTAAAGTGGTTATCAGGGCGGTGACCACATCAAGTATGGCAAGCCTGATGGGCTATCATGTCAGAGGTTACACGACCCACACTGGTAATGAGAGAACGGACCTAGATGTTTACTGCCCCTCTGGTCACCATCTGGGAAAGTGACCTTGCACAACTTCCAACTAGGACTTAATCTCTTTCATCTGTGGAATATGCAGGCAGTACTCAATGGTCCATAAGAGCCTTTCAGGCTCAAACATTTATAGTTTTATGAAAGTTTATGGTCCATGATAGCCCCTATTGCACAAAACAAGCAAAATCAGGAACTAAAAAATGGATACACGATACTGGATGCTTTCATGATCCAAACTTTACAACAAAGGTTTCTGGCTGTCACTGAGGGCAGTGGGATTGGCTTTAGAAGTGACCTTGATGGACTCACTTATAGACAAATCTGACAAGACATAGACTTTGGCCAGACATCCTTTTAAAAGGAATTAACTGTTGGTATCCAGTTAGAAGTATCTAAGAGGGGCACCTACAGAAATTAGTAGTGAGCAGCCATGAGAGAAACTATAACTCTGGTTGGACTCTCTGGACTAGGGTTTTATGTATTTAGGCTGCAAAAGTTCTATTTCCAGTTCTTAGGATATAAATGATTTCCAATTATTGTAGAGGTTAACAAATTCTTACCTTTGATTTGTATGCCCACAGCAACAACAGGGACTTACAAAGCTTGTTTTGTGATGTTCTATTCAGTTCTCTTCCCACCCAAATCCATGTGCAGATTTCCACACGGAAACCACAGAAGGTATCCATTCCGTGTAGAGATTGACTAGCGACAATAAACTAAAATTGGGTGGCTTTTACATAAAGCAAAAGTTAAAATACTTGACCAAAGAATGTTTCCAGACTGGCTTTGCTTCTTTAGGTGGAGATCATGTAGATTTTTAAAACTCTCTCCCTCTTTAAGGCATCAGAATGCTCTTGATATAACAATAACCAACTTATAAAGGGAGCTTGGCTTGTACTGGGAATTTCTCCTTCTAGAAATTCTTCCTATCTATACTACAGCTTCTTTATAAAATGAGAGAGCCCCTCCTGCTAGAATGTGAAATATAGAAGACCTCATGATTTTCAGGCAGTTTTTCAAAAATAAAGTGAACTGTTTAGCTTCTTAGAAATTCATAGGACTGTAGCTGTGTGTTTGTGCAACACATTCATGCATATTGAGCTCATTTGGGCAGTTTTAAAAGTTTAACGCTAAATCCCAAGCCATGTCCTTTGGGGCTTATGTAGTCATTCTTAAAATCAAATAATTTCTGCTTCCTGAGTGATCCTAGTCATATCACTAGCAATTTTTTTCTTGAAATTATTAAACTGATTCACATATCGTGCATATTTAATTCCCTAGATTATCTATTATCTTGGATGGTATTTATTCTAAATATGGGATAAAACAGAATTTTATATGGAAAATCTATGTAATTTATAATGGTTTTGTTTTAGAAATTATATTTTCATATCTTTAGGACACATCTGCTATTCTCATCTTTTTGTACATCATACTGGATAAAAAGAAATACTAATACTTGACTAAAATCTCTAGGAACCAAATGTAATATATATGATATATGACATATAGAAACTGCTCTAAAATCTGAATGTTCTCAGCCATGCTAAGCATTATTGTGCCATGTCATTACATCCAGAATATCTAGGATGCTTATGAGCATTTCTTTTTCACAATTAAGGCTAAAAGGCCTGACATCCCACACGATGGATTCAAGAATCTACTTCCCTTTTTTATCTTTTTTCTTTCATTTTTAATTATAGAAGTCCATGCTGCTTAAACTTCCTTTAAAAGGAAAATGTGAAGTAACAAGAAAGCAACTTGATGGGAAGAGAGAATGAATTGAACTATGGCTATGTAAAATCATTTTAACAGACTGATAACATGTTTAATCTACTGCTTGGGTTGTTATTCACTGTTGATCTAGGATCTGCTCAGCTCTGTAGCACATGAAGAAAATGTAAGGCACACAGAACAGTTGTATGTTTTGAAACAACACACTCTACACATAGTGTAGCCAGCACAGCTCAGCTTGACTATATAGACACCAGTCCTAGCCACTGGAAGTATTTTAGAAAGGCTAATCAGTTACCTTTCATTATGCCATTTGAGTACATGTATCAGTACTACAACTCTTACAATAGCGGTAGCTATGTTTCTATAACTGGGAGTTTCCTTCATGTGTTTTCATTTGGTAAGAAATGAAGCATTAATTTTATTTCACATACTTTATTTTCTCAGTACAATTCAGATATTTTTCTTTACTGATCTTCCCACAGTCTTTTGGCATTTTTTTTAGGTAATTTCTGTTTCCATTCTTGCTTACTGGTATTCTTTGTCTACTAAATCTCAGTGCATATTCACACATATATTTTGAATACCTGTAATCTTCAAGATATTGGTCAGTTTTACATGGAGCTGTTCATCAAAATACCCTTCAGTAGATAACAAAATTCATTTTCCTAATGACTTTTGTATGGTTTCTTCAGTGGTTGACAGGTTTGGATTATACAAATCAACTGTGGAGAAAATAATCAAATAGAATATAATTACGTATTATATTTTCCAAAAGACTGTGTGTTTTTTTATGTTACACAGGAAAATGTTATGTAAAGATCATGATGCTCCTTATGAGATTTTTTTAGAGATGGAATTTATAAAGGGGATAATACTAAAAATACTACAATCAAAATCAAAGCTAGAGAATGTAAAAATAGAAAGTAAATAGTTCTAAGAACATCCTGCATAAATTATTTTTATTTAGCCAATCACAAAATTCTCCATGTGTATCTTTCTGCCATCGTAGCCCCACTAACAGTGAGTTAGGATCAAACGTGTGTATTTATGTTTGGTCTGCTGTATTTCAGTAGTTCTGAATGTCTTTTGTTAAATTGCAAAATAAAATGAAAATGTATCTGGGCCAAAATGTCAATCTGCTGATTTTGTGAACTATAAAATGTTCACTTTCTAAAAATAATTTAAAGATGTAAACAAATGACTAATATAAGTTGATATTACTGTAGCAAAAAAAAAAAGTGATCCATCCTGTATTTTGATTGTTGCTTTAATAAAAGGTTTGCACAGGTGTGTGGAATGTGTGTCATGTCCTGCCCAGAGAGCATGGAATTGTGACCTGATTTACTCTTCCCAGTTACATGAAAATTGTACTCAGTTTTTATTTTGCCATTTTGCATCTGAAGCATTTTTTAGGAAAAGAGAAAAAATAATTTTATATAAAACCACAAAATTTTATTTTAATTCTAAAGCCTTCATTCGAGCCTGGTAACTTTTAGAACAATTTATGTGTACTTTTATCTATATCAAGAAATAATTTTTAGCACTGGGCACTTGGGAGGAAGATCATGAGATCAAGGGCAGCCTGAACTGTATCTCAAGACCCTGACTCAGAAAAAAAAATTTTTTTTAGCATATGGCATGAAGCTTTTGTAAAAAATCCAAAAAGACCAGGAAACTCACATATGCAGAACATTCCATCGGGAGATGATGTCAGCCACAAAACACCTAAACATCACATCCAAGCCAAATTTAAGAATGTGCTAAGTAGGTTCTCTGACATGCAGTAAGCTGCAAAAGCTCGGCTCCTTTTACATGAGATTAGTTGTGTGGTCTGTAACAAAAGAGACTGAAAATGGAAAAGTAACAAGAAAAAGGACAGAAAATCAATGTTTTACTGCAGGGTAGACCAAATAGACAAACAAAATAGCAGAGCTGTTACCCAGTAAGCTATGTATATAGTTTCCATATGCACTTTTTACTTGAACATTTTTCAAAAAAGGGTTTAAGAATATTATGCTAGCATTAGTGGACAAATTAACAGTTGTATCATCACCAAAGAGAAAATAAGATTGAAAGTTTTGTCTTTACTGGAAAATTTTGGTTGATGAATATATTCAAGACACAGAACAAACAGCTGCTGATTTATTTATTTACTTTTGCAGACTTTGGAATGCTATCTTCTACATGAACTTTAGTCAGAGCGAAGACAAGGCTTTATATTAAGCGACTTTCAAAGAAACATAATCACAGAGTCAGAAGTATGAAATTATCTGATTTATAATAATCCCTGCAGTGTGCCTGATAAGTTGTTAGCTCTGTTTGAAAAATGTCTCATAAATTGGGAGCTTACTGTGACCTCATGTACTAAAATAGTCTGTCAATGCTAGGTTTTAAGTGCTGAGTCAAAAAAGTTAAACACTAGCCTGCACTGGGTTTTGGTAAGCTGCAAACATGGTTTCATCCTGCCACAATAAAAGAGGATTACCACAAGAGTGATTGTTCCTGGTACTACTACACTAATACCATGCTCAAACATGACAGTGAATGGTTTTGCTGATGAGGGTGTTTCATTAGGCTGTTTTTCATTACTATGATGAGCTACCAGAGGCAGGCTAACTATAAAGAAAAAAAGGTGTTTTAGCTCAGTATTAGATGCTCAAAGTCCAAATAGCATGGCATAAGCTTCTGCAGCCCACCCTCACTCCCATGGCTGTGTCCCTTTATGGTGGTTAGAAATGGCAGGCAGGCAAGAATGAGGAAGACTAAAAGCAGAAAGCCAGAGTGGGACCAAGGCCCCACACTCCCTTCTAAGGGCGCACCCTGGGACCAAAGGACTCTCACTGAGCCACAACTCTGAAAGTTGCCACCATCACACCAAGGACCAGTCCCCAAAACTTTGGAGAACAAATCACATCGAAGTCATAGTAGATATTAAAGCTAGATCAGGGACTGGGCATGCTGGTGCGTACCCATAAACACATTATGCTGAGAGGCTGAGGCAGGAGGTTCACAAGTTTGAGGCCAGCCCAGGCAATTTAGCAAGACCCTGACTTAATATTAAAAAGGACTGAGGAGGTAGCTAAGTGCAAAGGCTCTGGGCTCAATCCCCAGTACTGCAAAAGGGAAAAACAAATCAGGTACTCTTGTACCCCTGAACGTGCCCTCACCCCCAAGCCTACAATTCATTAAATAAAGGGTTTGTTCAACAGTCCCGGGGGAACAAAATAAATGCATTGCCTCAGTAGGTGTATATTTCTAAAGAAACACTGGAATTAACCTGAAAAAAGTATATAAAGTGGCATATTGATGTATTTTCAAATAATTAGAGCCAGCATTTAATTGCATTTACACTGTTAGGTAAAATTACACAAGAGTAAAATAATTTTCTTAAGATACTAACACTAGCAAAAAAAAATGAACACTAATACAGCAATATGAATTTTTCAGGAAGAAACTAAATTTCTCATTAGCCATGTATTTTCTACCATATATTTTTGTTGAGTAGGTGAGTTATTCTTGTAAGCATCTGCAAGTAAATGGAGTGGATTTTCCTACACTTGATCCGTGTCACAAAGTTTGTTTGTGGGGTAGAAATCTCTGTGAACTGTGAAAAAAATCACTGGTACATAGAGTGCTAGCAAAATTAAGAGACTTTTGTTACTCTATCTCCCTAAGTTTTTCATGATTCATGCAAAGGTGATATATATTAGAGATTCCTTAAACTGTCTGATGCCTCTGCTTTGGGTTTTTGAGGGGTTTGTTGTTACTGCTGCTTATTTTTCATTTTTGTTTTTGTTTTGGTATTGGCACTAGGGATTGAATTCAGGGCCTTTGCACTGAGCTACCTCCTCAACCCCTTAAAAGCGGTTTGAGACAGGGTCTCACTAAGTGTCCCAGACTGGCCTCAAACTTGAGATCCTCCTACCTCAGCCTCTCAAGCCACTGGGATTACAGAGATGTACCACTATGTCCCACTAATGCCTCTGGGTTTAAGTCTGTATAATTACTATGTCTGCTGGTGCTGCACACTTTTTTTATGTAGGCATTTGGTGAGGTGAGTGAACAAAATTTCAACAGGATTTATAATTATAGCCACCAAGGTTTTTATGCAAAATGGAAAAAGAAACTTTTTTTTCTGAACATGGTAAGAATTATACTGTAAAGTTTTACAGGTTGCCCTCTATGTAGATGGTGTTTCTCTTCCCTTCCCTGCTGAAATTACCTCATCTTCTCAGCCAGAAAACCACATTATTTTGTATGATGTTAAATGCTTGGCTATAGAATAGACTCCATGACATAATTTACCTGCCATGTAGTAGACACTTTATCCATTTAACATAAAAGAAGGAAAGTTTAATGTTGCTTATACTTGAAATTATGTAAAACTGAACCACTGCACAAGCTAGGACCTTGGCATTCTATTCGTAGAAATGTTCTCATCTATTGAAGAAAATTTGAAAGTCTTAAGACATCAGAAAATTTAATTGCGTAATCCACACTTTGTGGAAAAAAATTGGCAGCTGATATAAAGAATCTGCAATTGTCAGATTTTGTGTGATGTGTGTAGTATAATTTTCCATATCAGTTTACCCTAAATTGTCTGTATCCACAATAATAATTGGGATTCATTTATTATATTTCTGAACCCTTCTAGATCCTAGAGAAAATGCAAAATCAAAAATACATATACTCCTGTATCATACTAAACTAGAGTTGATTGAATTAAGTATATTTTACTGGCTATGAATCCTTTGAAACTGATAATTGCTGTGTTTCACATAAGAACACAAACTCTCAATAACCAGACTGTGTCAATAAAATAATCCACACCTACACTGGGCCTGGTGATGCATGCCTGCAATCCCTGCACCACTGGGCTGAGGCAGGAGGATTCTTGCAAGTTTGATGCCAGCATGGGCTACAAAGTGAGTTCAAGGCCAGCCTGAACTGCATAGTGAAAACCTGTCTCAAAAAGGAAAAAAAAAAAAAAAATTCCTTACCCAAGAAGGCAGTTATGCTCTATGATATCTAATTTAGATTCACTCCATTAACCAAACATAAAATTGTCTCATTCCAATTGGTAGCAAAAATGTATACATGCTCGGTGGTGACCTGGACTACACTTGTGAGCATGTGCGTGTGCTTATATGTTGTATGGATGAATTTCATCTTTCTGGGAAATAGAACACATAATTAACTAGTTAATTAATAGAACACAATTAAGCTTTTTATTTTGAGGTAATTATAGATTTACATGTGAAATAATGCAGAGATATGTCGCATATCACTATCCAGTTTCCCTTCATGGTAACGTCTTGGAATATTGCTACAATTTCATGCAATATTGCTACAAGAATATTGACATTGGTACAAATGCCCAATCTTACTCAGATTTTCTCAGGTCTTCTAGGTACTCATTTGTGTGTGTTTAGTTTTTGATACAATTTTATCATATGTAAACTTGTGTATTTTCCTCCACAGTCAAGATGTGGACTAGTACCATCTTTATAAGGATCCTTTGGGTGGCCATATGAAAACTTCTCTCCTTCCCAGACCCAGAACATGGTTTTTAAATCTGGAAACTCCTTAATTAGACAACTGAAGCTTATCTGGAACTATTATAATAAAGTGTGTTTTTCCATAAGTGTTCATTTATCCATTTTTTGTGTCTGATTTCCCATCACTTTAGAATACCTTATACAATGAAGCCCAAGAGGTGGTTTTTGATAGAGAAGAAAGGATATTTACACACTTGAAATCCTAGCAAAGAACCCTTAAAAAGTAGGAGATCTGAGACAGTGATGAGCCACAGTATAGAAATGCTTGGACAGCTAGTTCTAAACTGCCCTTGTGCCAAGCAGTGCAGAACATCAAAGAAAGGCATGGCTTCCATGTGACTTTCAGGGTCTCAAGGAAAAGAGAAAGCACACTCTCTTATATCCAAAGTGCCCCGTACTCATCACTGCTGCAGAAGTTCTAGGGCCAAGGCCACAGAGTGGAAGACAAAAGACATCACAGGCGGAGGTAAACACTGGTGGTCTTACGTGACCCTTGCACACTTCCCCTTGAATAAGACAGGACTTAATATTAAATGCCTAGCACATTTAATATTAATATAATGAAATGCCTGTCAGTTTCGATATTAAGAATGCATTAAGGATGTTGGTAAGAGCCTAACGCCAATTAGCTTCTCAAATAATGAAATTAAGACAACTGGTCACAGTGCTGAAAGATAAAAACCTTGGCCCAAACTCAATTGCTAAGCAGGATCACTTGACAGTCTGGAAAGAGTCTTAA